CCCCTGCACCCCCGCCCCGAACATGTTCTACCGATAGGCTTTCCCCATAGGAGTCCTAGCTATGTAATAACGTTTTCAACTTAGGTTTGGGATGTGGGCCTTTTTGAGCATCGGGTAGTGATTGCCGCGGGGCGCGCCCACCTACCCTTCTGAAGGCACCGACACTTGGAAGATCTGCGGAAGGCCGCGCCAGGAAACAGCCGCCGTGCCGGTTCTCGCAGGGTGAGCACCCGGGCCAGCCGCGGCGGACCTCGCACCCGCAGCAGCAAACGCCGCGCGCGCCGGAGGCCGCAGGAAGTTTGGGAGAGCTTCCGTCAAGGAAACGCTCCCACGACCAACTTGCGCCTAGCACCCCGGATGGTCGCGGGCAGCGGTGACGACCACCGGTGGCGGCACCGGCCGTCCCAGGGCCACTCAGATTTGTGGCAGCGCTGGCAGAGCACGCCTGGCGGGGCGCGCGCCACCGCCAGGTCAGGCCCGCTTCGGCCTCCCACGCTGCGAGCAACGCAGCCGAACATGGCTCGCAGCCACGGCGCCGCCAATTGCGCGCGCCGGGGGGCCCATCCTCGAGCAAAACTGTTCACGGCGAGCTCGAAGGTCGAACGTGCACACCTCCCACTGTGGCTAAAATCAATTTGAAATCGCAGACCTGGACATGTCGCCGCGCCGCTTGTTTTCGACGCGCCGCAGTGGACGACGCCGACACCACGGCAAACCCATTGCAAACCCTGCGCTCCGCGCCCAATATACAGCATGGGGCCAGTTCGGGTCGGTTCGGCAGCGGGCCGGTTCGGTTGTACCGGTTTGGTTTCGGCGCCAGTTCGGTTTGAGCCGGTTCGCTTTTGCCTCGGGACGGTTCGGTTTCGGTCGGTCCGGTTCGGGCGATCCAAAGTTTGGCGCGCAGTGCGTTACAGGTGTCCAGGTCCGGACCACAGGTCCGGACCTCAGGTCCAGACCTGGACTTCAGGTCTGGACTTCAGATCCGGGCCCCGGGTCCGGGCCCCAGAGAGGCCCGGAAATTGCTCGCCGACGCCCTCCGTCGGGGGGCCGCCTCCGAGCTTTCTGGGGGCGGGGCTTCTTGGGGCCCTCTGGGAGCGCCCTGGCGGAGCTCTCTTGGGCCGTTTCGTTGGGGTCCTACCAGGGTCCCAACGGATGCTACAACGCATCCCTCTGTTGTAGCATCCGTCGGGTGGCGTCTCGGAGCTCTCTTGGGAGCCTCTGGGGGCCCTCTTGGGCCGTCCTGGAGCCCTCTTGGTCCGTCCTGGAGCCCTCCTGGAGCCGTCGGCCGCTGGAACTTTACGGAGCCCGTCTTCGGGTTCTCTTGGGCCGTCTTGGAGGCCTTTTTGGCAGGCAGGTTCGGTTCCCCCGGTTCGGGTTGACCGTTCGGGCCGACTTCGATCGGCCGGTTCGGTTCGAATCTGCCAGTTCAGTTTCAGTTGGTCCGGTTTTGGCTTTGGTTTGGGCGGTTCGGTTGCAGGAGCCGCCGGTTCACAGTTACCAGTTCGGTTCAATTTGTTCTTGAATGTAGGCGAAAACGGCACCGCCGCAAACCCACGGCGTTTGCCCTAGCGGTCGAGGCGCCCCCACCAAGACGGACGGCTACGCGTCGGAACCAACGGCGCGGCGACATGCGATTCCCGGATGTCTCGACCCACTCCCCAGGGCCAGCTTTTCATCGCGAGTCTTTTTGTTGGCGATCCCGGGGTCCAGCAAGAGCCCCCAGAGGCCAGAATAGACAAAAACCGCCCGTCGTGATCTTTTCATGACGCGAGCATGTCTGCGGAGGTACCTCCTGGAAGCTCCGAGTGTTCTGGGGTGGTCGGCGAGGAGTGGGCCACGCGCGGGCCACGGATTGTTGCGCGCCATCGCAGGGGGTCCTGAGCGATTGCCTTGCCGAAGAGGGCGCGCAGCGTGGCAGTGGGCCGGCGGCGGGCAGCCTGGTGGCACGCGTGAAGAATACGCCACGCGCCTCGCCCCTCGAGCAGTCTGAATGCCCAACACCTGTCCCCGAGCATGGGCCCAAGAGGCGTACACTCGGCTCCGAAAGGGTCCCAGAGCGAAGATCCGCAAAGGCATGTCTTGCAGACCGCTGTCGTCGATGCTGTCAAACTACGATCACAATGCAGAACTCTGCGCAGCCAGACAAAGGAGGAGGGAGGAGGCGGCAGGGAGCGCAGGACAAAGCAATGCTAAGCACGGCGTGGCAATGCAAAGCGACGCGGCGAGGTGCACTGTAACACAAAGTCGCGATTGGCCACGTTGGGCATCACATTGGCTTCGCAAGACAACGCGAACGAATGCAAATCAAGGCAACGACACGCAACAAAAAAAAACAAGCGAGCGACGCACAGCCACGAGAACAAAGCAAAGCAACGCGCAGCAACGCAACGCTGGAAGGAATACGGGGAGTGAGCGCAAAGCAAAGCAATGCTCACCCCGGCGTAGCAATGCGGAGCAATGCAATGCGAAGCAATGAAAAGCAACGGGCGGCGATTACGAGCACACAGCTGCCAGACCACGGGCGGCGACGAGGCGGCGGAGGGGCCGCGACGGCGAGCACGTTGTCGCCAGACCGACAGCCAGGCCCAGACCACGGGGGTCGACGAGGCGGCGGAGGGGCCGCGACGGCGAGCACGGAACCACCAGACCGACAGCCAGGCCCAATTCTTTAGCACCCAAGTAAGAATCCGTAAGGGCAAGAATTGTTTGGGGAAAATAGACCAGAAGCGGACCAGAAGTGATCGTCTTCGAGGCTGGGAGCCAAAGTTGGAGCCGGGACCGCTGACATTTTCGAATTTTGGGGAAACAAAACCAGAACCAGAACAGGAACCAGAACCGAAGCCCGAGGCTGGAAGAAAAAAGAAGACGGAACCAGAACGGGAACGGAAATTGGAACTGCGTGCGGGCATGCTACGAAATTGGAGAAGAAGGAAGCTAGTACCACAACTCGAACAGCGACCTGGGATCTTTTTCGCACCGAAACAGGAACCAGAACCGTGACCAACAGAGTTTCTTGCAGCGCCAGAAGAAGAAAAAGAAGGAGAAGAAGAAGAAGAAGGAAACCGGAACGCGAACGGGAACCAGAACCGTCGCACGGGTGGTCTTCTTCCGGGCCAGAAGAAAAAGGAAACAGGAGCCAGAATCAGCAGCAGAACTGTGATTCGGGGGTCTTCTTCGAGGCCGGAAGAAGAAGAAAACCGGAGCCGGAACTGGGACCAGAACCGTGCCTTGAGGTGTTTTCTTCCAGGCTGGACGGCTGGACGAAAAAAGAAATCTGAGCCCGATCCAGACCCGCAACCAGAACCGTGACAAGAGGGGTCTTCTTCGGGGCCAGAAGAAGGAAACCAGAATTGGAACGGAAACTGGAACCAGAACCGTGACTTGGCGGGTCTTCCTCGAGATTGGAAGGAAAAGGAAGCCGGAACCGTAACCGGAACCACAGCCGGAACCAGAACCAGAACCCTGATTTGGGGGAATTCATCGGGGCCGGAAAAAGAAGGATATTGGATCCCGAAGAGAAACCATAACCGTAATTTGGCAAGTTTCTCGAGGCCAGAAGAAGAATGAAACCGGAACCAGAACCAGAATCATGACCACGGGATTCCTCTGCGGCGCGGGAAGAAGAAGAAGAAGAAGGAAACTGGAACCAGGACCGAAACCGTGCGTTGGAGGGTTCCCTTCGAAGCCGGAACAATAAAGAAACCAGGACCAGAACCAGAATTGGAACTTGAACCGTGACTGGAGGGTCTTCTGTGAGGCTGGAAAACAAGAAAATTGGAACACGAAATGGAACCAGAATCGTGGCCTGGGTTTTTCTCTCGGGGCAGGACGAATAAGGAAACGGAACCAGAACTGATCTGGGTTTTTTTTCCGAGAACGAATAAGAACGAAACCAGAATTGGAACCAGAACCGTGATTTGGGGGGTCTGCTTCGAGGCTGGAAGAAAGAAGAAACCAGAACCGGAGCCAGAACCGTGAATTGGGGGGTCTTCTTCCGGGCCGAACGAAGAAGGAAACCGGAACTGGATCCGGACCCGCAACCAGAATTCGTAACCAGAGGGGTCGTCTTCGGGGCCAGAAGACGAAAACCCAAACCAGAACGAAAGTTGGAACCAGAAGCGTGGCTCTGGGGATCTTCTTCGAGATCGGAAGAACAAGGAATCCGGAGCCGGAATCGGAACCAGAACCGTGCTTTGGGGGTCGTCTTTCGGGTCGGAAAAGAAGGGAACCAGAATTGGAGACAGAACCGTGATTTGGGGAGTATTCTTCAAATTTGGAGGAAGAAGGAAACTGGAACGGGAACCGGGAGCTGGAACCAGAACTGGACGTTTTGTTCCCAGGCCGGAAGAAGAAGGAAACCAGAACCAGAACCGTGATTAGAGTTTTGTTCAGGACCCTGTAGAAGAAGAGAACCGAACTAGAATCAAACCAGAACCAGAACCGAAACCGGAATCGGCACCAGAACTGGAATTGGAATCGAAACCGGAATTGGAACCGGAACCAAAACCACCATCACACCCGTTTCAGTTTGGGTCTTTCCGGGGGCCCTTTTCTGGCCATTTTGGAGGCCTATAGGGCCATCGTGGGGCCGTTTTGGGACCAATACAAAAATCCTTGCAAAACATTAGGGATCATTTCTTTGGGCATCTGCGGGTCCTACGGCGCGTCCTCTGGTCACATGGTCACGTACGTGGACCGTATTGGAGGCTTGTTGGGTCGTCTTGAGGCCATCTTGGGCCGTCCTGGGGCCATCTTGGGCCTTGGAGGCATCTTGGGCCTTCTTGCCAGCCTTGGTTGCATATCTGGGCCGTCTTAGATGCTCAGTATCGCGGATCCTTTGTTTTGTAGGAAGGATCGGGGCCTCGGGAGGCGGGGATGCATGCGGCCAAGTGCTTCGAAAGAGCTGGGGGGCCCTTAACTAAAAGAATACAGAAATCCTACCAGGCAGAACTTAACACTATACAACGTCCTAGCGTGCCAGGGGGCACGATGGCGGGTAGGGCAGAGCAGTGCACGAACAGCAGCGTTATGGAGGACGGCAAGGAGATCCCCTGCTGCTATAGAAAGTCCGGCTTCTCGGACGACAACACCATCACCTGCGCTCGGCAGGGCAATCCGCTGATCACGCAGGAGAGGAGGCCCCAGGTCTGCACCGAGCGGGTGGAGTCGCATTGGGAGCCGCTGCCAGAGTGCAGGCTGCTGTGCGACCAAGGCCCTCTGGCTTCTGCGCCCCACGTGACAGTGAGCGAAGAGTGCGGCGATTGCATTGTCAACCAAGAGGACTGCAAATGCAAGGTGACGTGTGCACCGGGATACGTGCGAGTCGGAGGCGGTGCGGTCGTCGGCACCAGGAGTTGCGGCCAGGACCTGTCGTACGGCGACGCCCCCGTCTGCCGACAGGCCCTTCCCGGGGAGATGACGGGCAACGCCGAAGACGGTGGCGGTTCTGGTGGCGACTCTGGAGGTGACTCTGGTGGCCACTCTGGGGGCGGCTCTGGTGGCGACTCCGGTGGCCACTCCAGCCACATACCCAAGGGCGTCGTGCCCCCGATTTGCCCAGTTCCTCAAGTCGAGGCCATGACCGTGGAAGGCTGCGAAGAGTGCGCTGCGGGTGACCACGACTGCGTGTGCGAGATGCGCTGCTACTACTACTACTCCGACATGGAGGACCCCGAGCGTGAGTTACCCCAGATATGCCAGCCCGACGGGGAGAGCGAGCTCCACGCGGGAAAGTCATGCACGGGCATCGAGAGCGAGGAGGAGTGTCTGTCGAGCAGGGACCGCGAGCTCAACACGACCTGCTGCTGGCGCAGCGGGGGCCATGCCGAGGATGGCAAAGCTCGGTGCGCACCCTTCGGCTGGAAGGACATGCGGTACGCACCCGACAGTTGTGCCCACGTGCTGAAAGCGAGTTTTCGCCCGCCCAAGTGCGATCCGCTTTGCATACAACCGTGGGCGGAGGATCGACCACGGAGAGAAGCATGAACGGAAATGTTCGGAGATTCGCGCGGATCTCTTGGTGCTGGGCCCCCCCTTCTTGGCGCAGGGAGCGCGCAAGGGGCGGCGACGGAGGCGCCGCCAGGGGTGGCCTGGCGCCGATCCGAGAAATCCGCGCGGAGCTCCGAAAGGTTTCATGCCGTTTTTCCTTCGTCTACAGGAGCTCGAGGAGAAGCACGTGGAAATTGAGGGTTGCGAGCGCTGCGTGGCTGGCCAGGAGTGTCCCGAGTGCAAGCTGACCTGCGAAGGAGACCATGTGGTCCTGGCAGGGCGCTCAGGCCGGACATCTTGCGAGACGTCGGACCGCTATTTCCAGTTGCCGACGTGCGTCTGCCCGCCAGATAAGGCCGAGTCTTGCGCCAAAGAGCAGCTCAGGTGCGAGAAGTTGTCGCCTTTGTTCAAATCTAGATACGGCAGGGTCAAGGGGTGCGGCGATTGCGATCCTGGCGACGAGTGCGAGTGCGAGATCACTTGCAAGGAGACCGACAAGCTAATCGGAGACAACAGCCCGAAATGCGAAAAGGTTCCATTGACCCTGGCCAGCAAAAAGGCGTGCAAGGACATAACCGACGAGGACGAGTGCTTGGCGAGCAAGGAAGAGGGCACGGAAAACGATTATTGCTGCTTCCAGGAGTCAGGGTCGGGAGACCAGTGTGTGGCCAGCAGCAAGGCTGAGGGTCAGGTCAGGTGCGCTGTCGGCCTAATGGGCAAGTGGACGAACCTTCCCGTCTGCAAGCGCAAGTGCATCAACGTCTTCGCCCACCGCCCAGATCTCAAGGCTGAGAACTGCGACGACTGCGCCGCGGACGCGGAGTGCCGCTGCAACGTGACCTGTGCAGAGGGTTGGGAGCACTACGGCGGAGAGCAGGGCCCCAAGAAGTGCTCGGGCAGAGGAGCGTTCGACAGCGCCCCAGTCTGCGGCAGGCCCGAGGCGCCGCCAGAGTGCCCGAGCCCAGAGGCCAGCCTCGAGGTAAGCCCGGCGTGGGCCATCTTCAAGACGAACGTCGAGTGCGTCGACTACACGAGGGTGCGCACCAGCGAGACGCTGGCTGGCTGCAAGAAGGCGTGTGAGAACTACGGGGTCTTGGCATTCTGGGAGGAGGGCCGCTGCGACTGCTGCAGAAGCGACCGGATGAGTCAACCCCAGGCGGGCGCCAGACTTCCGAGCACCGACGTGTACGTGAAGGGCCCGCTGCAGTCTAATGGCTGCTCGGGGTGCACCGCAGGAGGCGACTGCCCTAGTTGCAGCGTTAGTTGTGCCAAAAACTTCGCGCTGGTGACGCAAGAGTCCTTGCACGGCGGCCATCCCCAATGCATCGCGGCCGACATCGGCAGGGGGGCGGCAATATGCGAGAATGCTAAAGTCAAGACAGATTGCTTGACGATGGAACAAGACGGCCAACCATGTTGCTGGGAAGGCACGAAGTGCTTGAGAAAGGGGTCCTCGATAATATCTAGCATGGCAAACTTGCAGTGCGCCCCGATGAAGGTGGCACGTTGGAC